ATGCCTGAAACTTTAAGTCTGATATTCTATTATTGTTATGCGGGTTTACACCAAATATACGAGATTTATCTTTTAAGAAAAAGAATATAAGCATTTTATATGAAAACAGTCAAATAACACACTCAGGCACTGATCATCTTTGATCGCTAATATCTTGGTAAGGAGCAAGTTAAAGCAAGATGTGGTTATCATGTTATATAGAGCACATCTCAAAGAATAAGAATATTCTAGCGACAAAAGTTCTTCTTGCGTCTTCTGCGAGATATATATGTTAAAACATTTGGTTGTAACTTCAAGTAGGTGTTAATTAGCTTTAAAAGAAGTGCTTATTACGTATTTCTGCAAAAATATTTTAAAAATTAGAAAAGTGCCAAATGAAGACCTTTCTATACTGTTCAAGATAGCAACAACGCATTGTCTTGAAAAAGTGGAACACAATATATTTTCTTCATCTAAAGTTGTAGCATTTTATGATATTTAATACACAAGAATTGTAGTACTGTTTTATTGCGTACAGTTGGCACTAGAAAGTACATAAGACTTTATTCCTTTCAGCTCTCAGTCTATTAGGACGTAAAGTACATGTAACATGTAAAAAAAACGAAAAACAAAATTTCGAAAATTTGATTTTCGTTCACATTTTACCGCTTGTGGACCACTGTGTGACGTCAGCATCATTTGAAGCACCCCATGTAAAAATACCATATGTTGCTATACTGTGAAAGTATGCAAACTATACACTTTTTGTTTCTTTGATCGGTAAAACCCTTGACACCACTCTCAGGCAATACAAGGATGTTGGCAACTTTTGTTTTATTTGTGTTATATGTTCTTTCCACGCTAAGGTCGAAGAAAGTGTTATGCCTAGGAATTTCACGGTTTTGTCCTTAACATCCTTTGTTATTTTGGTATAAAACGTAAGAAGTTTGGTTTTTTCCTTATTTAACTGCAGACTATTTAGTCAAACAATTTTTTCGCTTGCTCTAACGTTTCATTAGTTCTTTGTTGCAGCTGCAGAAGGTCTGTAGAAGAATTAATGAAGGATGTGTCGTCTGCATAGAGACACATTGAATCAGCATGTGTATTGCTTGGCAACCAATCCTTTGGCGAGTACAGTGATTTCGTCTTTTGTTAGTGGGACACTCAATCTGTTGATGACGATTGTTTCTACTGGTAAACTATTACTTTTCTTCGTTTGTATCCGGCGTTCCAGGGATTCAAACTTCTTGATGTGCGTGTCACGGGTCTTCTAGAATTCACGATCAACCTTCTCCATTGTTAGTCTATCCACTTTATCCCAGTCTTCTCCGGACATAAAATTGGAAAGTGAGAGGTGGAGTCGTAGTAATGTCTCACATATTTTCTGTAGTATTTCTGTTCTTTATCTATATTATGGATAAAGCAGACTGGACCACTGGGAAAAGCTGCAAAACATTATCTAGTTTAATTTGGTGTTAAAAATAAATAACTAATTACATTGTGCTATGCATAATATAGAAAAAAAATTTATTTACTTTTTAGTGTTCCATTTGCAAGATATTTAGCTTGGAACGAAATTTCTATTTTGAGAAGATACTCTATTGAACGGGTTTATCGTGAAAAAAAGGAGCTGGATCGTATTCCAAGAGAATTATACGAGTGCGCTTTCGATATAGTGACGCCATCAAGGGGTAACTTTGTTCTGGATGCTGAGCTTTTTTCGATTTTCAAGGAAATCGTCGATAACTTGCTTGGAGTGAACACAAAGAAATGCACTATTCGATTAAATCATCCTCTTTTGGTTAAAGCGATTCTCTTACAGTGTAACATCAAAGATCGACATTCCGAAATTTTTAATATTTTATCGTTTTCCGATTTAAAGGTAGGTGAAAGCATTTATGTCCAAAATTCCGATTATTATGTGCAGTCATGTTCACGGGAAATGCACATTTAAGGTCAAGCGCTGTTGTGAGATCCGACATGCCGCTGGCTAAACGGGCTGAGCCGAGCGTACACGAAGCTCGTGGCTCGGAGGTGTTCGGCTCAGCCCGTTTAGCCAGCGGCATGTCGGATCTCACAACAGCGCTTGACCTTGAGTGTGCATTTCCCGTGAACATGACTGTACATATCGAACCGCTTAATTTTGTAGGTATTAACTATTAAAAGATATTTGTAATTATATTGAGTAATTCTTTTAAGGATTGTCAAGGAAAAGCAAGGCTGCAAATCCATTTAACCAGCTTAGGAATATCCGATACCAGCATAACGATGCTATTTAAACTTTTAGAAACGGAAGTATCGGCCGATAACATCGACAGTCATTTTCAAATGTTGACCCGGAAAAAATCAACGGAAATTGGATTAAATTCTAAAAAAGCTTTGAGCGAATTAAAAAGTATCATTCAAAATATAGAATCATTCGGAGTCGATGTAAATACATTAAACATCTTAAAAACCCAAAAATATCATTTTTATTTAATTTTTTTTAGTATAACATTATAATCGTTCCGAATTTATTATTTAAAATTCAACAATATTCGGGGGTAATGTTCCAAATTGGGTGTCAACCCAGAAAAAAGCATTCGAAAGGGATGGATATTTTAGCCGCGGGTGGTCGATATGACTCCATGATCACCGATTATCGTTGTATTTTAAAAAAAGCCAATTTAACCAACTTAGAAATTGAACAAACCGCCGTCGGTATTTCGATATCCCTTGACAAAATGGCTCAAATATTAATAAAACATCAAGCGGAATTAGACGAAATTGACGACACTAATCAATTCTACGGCAAATGCGACCAAATCGTTTCAGTTTTGTGTTTGGGATCGATAAATAACAAAGAAAAAACGCGCTTGATGAGCGATTTGTGGACTAACGGGATAAAATCGTCGATGCTCGAAGGGATTAACGAGGAATTAGCGGATGATTTAAAAGTGCCGATTTTAATTATTTTTAAAGATACCGAACAAGGAGTTGTTTCGATTAGGTATCGTGAGAAGGATCGCGTTCAAAATAAAAGGATAAAAAGGACGGATGTTATCGATTTTATTCAGCAGCTAAAAAATACTTGTTATCAACAACGTTTCGATCATAATCGGACAATTAGTGAAAGAAACGATCAAAATAACGACGTTTCAGTTAATATTTTGTTTGTAACTTCAGAAAAAATTTCGGGTGGAGCTAGAAGAAAATATGAAAACCAGGTAATTTCCTTTATTTTTTAACCTAGAGGAAGTTTTATGAAAATTATGAAATCATTTTTTTTTTAGATTTTAACTCAACTTCATAGCTTTACCGAGCGTTTTAACGGCGAAATCATAGTCTTGGTTTTAACTCTAGATCTTAATATAATACGAACGTTAAGTTCGTATTTGAATTTTGAGAATGATTATCAATTTAATTCTTCGGTGAAAACTATAATTGAACGGTACGAAAATTATGTACTAAATCGGTTTTATTTACCGTTTTATTAATTTTTGTTTCAGACATCAACAAAATAGAAAGTACTTAAACGAAGTTTGCGATGAAATAAAGAAAGTGAAATTTAAAAAGACACAACCTATTATTATATTGTATAGCCTACAAGAATCTGTTTATAAAATTATTTTTTAATAAACCATCAATTTTTTGAAAAATCTTATTTTTATTTTTAAGCTATTTCTGAAGTTGTATTGGAATGATCTATTTATTCTAATATAATTGTGCACGATCTAGAATTGCGGAAATAGGCGTTAGAAGCAAATGCATCAATATAATAATTTATTAAAATTAAAATAAGTACATTACCACAATAAAGTTATAATAATAATAGGATTTATTTGATTACTTGGGCTACATAAGTAAGTGTGAGGAATCAGTATACCATATTTTCCCGAATCTAATCCGCACCCCGATTTTAAAAATGTGTGGTGACAAAAAAATTGGTTTACGAATGTAATCCGCATCTTTCCGACACCAAAGAGGCTTCTTTCAAATGGTGACATGAACTCATCACTACCATGGATACACTATTCATGACTAAAATAATAATAACAAAATATACAATAGTGTATAATTAACATTATCAGTGGAATTAGCAAAATAATATGGTTTAAAAAATTAATATTGAGAAGAAACCTAACTTGGAAGTGGTTGAAAGTGTTAACAGACTAAGCGAGCTTAAACAATGATTCGGAATCTTAAAACCGACAGATAGAACACACAAAAATATGAAATGAACATTATTACTAAATCTAGAAGATGATAATGCAAAAAATATTGGTATAAGCAAAAGCTATTGGAAAATCTGCAACATCGTTAACAGACGATGTGTTATCTGAAATTCTGGAGCACACAGATAAAAAACTGTTGAAAATGGGAACAAGATATGGAGGAATCAATAAGCTTGAATTGCTAATTTTTGGACATGGTAAAACTTTGGACTTTTGTACAACAGCTTCATTTTTAAATCCAACAATGAAGATTTACAAAGCCTCTTTGCAAGAGATGGTACGGGGCGGGACATCTTTCGTTGTATAATGTCTTGATCGCCAGCAAAGGAAACAAGAAGAAAATGCGGCAGCATTATCCTGGACGATAAAAAAAACTAATAACAGTTGTAACTACTGTAAGATCGCGATGTGTGATTAATGACTGTAAAGCTAACATATGGAAAAATCTGCATAAAATATTTATTTACTTTTTGGGACTTTGAAGTATTGCAGTTTTGTATTTATAACTACTTATTTAACCATTACTATTCTTAATTTAAAATGTATATACAGGATGGTCCATTTAACATGAGACCAGCGATTATCTCGAAAACGGTTCATTTTACATAAAAATGAGTCAAATGAAAGTTGTTCTGTGCGAAGGGGGAAACCATATGACTACTCTTTCTTTTTTTATTTTTTGATGTGTTATTTTTAATACAATGATATAAACATTTTGATTGAAACAGTTATTGTACCCTATTCAAATATAACGTACAAATAACGTTTCAAAGTTAACTTCAATAATTTCATGAGATCTGGCTCAAAATAATGTTGGAGTCTGCATGGCATCACGTCACCAGTTCTGTTCAGTTCTGTTATAGAATATGTACGTCACCAGTAAAAGGTTAAAGCGATGGATAGAATACAAAAGTCTTTGTAAGTTATTGCTCGGTTATTTCCCTATGTTTGTTTAAGATTAATAAAATAGTTCACTATTTTCCGATGAATACGCTATCTATTTAATTAGACACAAATTAAAAGGACAGTTTCAAATTAGGCTCATTTCTATTAAGTGCGCCTCCCGCTTTTTATTAATTAAATATCAGTTCACAGGAGTTTACAGCTCTCTGTTTTATTTCTACGATTAGAACTGTTTGGAATTTATTATACATACAACAAAATAACACCCTTGTTTATAGATATTCATATGCATATCATAAATATGTACATATTTAATCTTCTGCCAGTAGTTTCTAGACTATTTCAAGCTATATATAGACTTGTACAGGCAGTATCTATCTTCTACCAATAATACTTAATCTTCTGCAAGCAGTTTCTAGACTATTAGAGCAATATATAGACTTCTGTAGGCAGTTTCTGTCTTCTGCCAACAATATTTAATCTTCTCCCAACAGTTTTTAGACTATCAAAGCAATATATAGATTTCTATAAGGCAGTTTCTGTCTTCTGCCAACAATATTTAATCTTCTCCCAACAGTTTTTAGACTATCAAAGCAATATATAGATTTCTATAAGCAGTTTCTGTCTTCTGCCAACAATATTTAATATTCTGTAAGAAGTTTCTAGACTATTAAAGCAATGTATACACTCCTATAGGCAGTATCTGTCTTCTGATAACCATATTTAATCTTCTGCCAGCAGTTTCTAGACTATTTCAAGCTGTATATAGGACTAGTACAGGTAGTATTTATCTTCTGCCAACAGTTTCTAGACTATTAGATTTTCTAACAATAAATGTTACTGTATTCATTACTATTATACTTTTTAATACCATTCATAATTTAAAATGTATATACAGGATGGTCCATTTAACAGGAGACAAGCGATTATCTCGAAAAGGGTTCATTTTACATAAAAATGAGTCAAATGAGTTGTTCTGTGCGAAGGGGGAAACCATATGACGATAACATTTTTTGACCTTGACCTTATTTTCAAGGTCATATAAAGATCACGATCAAATTTTTAAATAGCACCCTATGTTTTTGATTGCAAAATCTGAATCTATGGATAAAACTAAAATAATTTAAAAAAAATTACCGTGTGGTTTTGAAAAATGATTAAACTATACTATTAATCAACAACAAATATAAAATTTATAATAAATGTTCGAATATTTCCCCACCCACTTTAATACATTTATTAACCCTCCTACTAAAACTTTCTTTACATCTTAAACGATTTTTTTGGCTACTATTTCTGCATGCATTTCTTATTCGCTCTTTTATGTTTTCTGGCGTAGTCGGTACTTCGCGATAAACATTATCCTTAAGGACGCCCCACAAAAAAGATGAAGAGGTGTTAAATGAGGTGATCTGGCAGGCCAGAAAATTGGACCTTCTCTTCCAATCCATCGCCCAGTATAATTCCGATCTAAAACTTCACGTGCAATAGGTGAAAAATATGCTGGACACCCATCATTTTGCAGCCACATATTTTGTTTTTCTTCCCTGCTCAAATCTACATGTAACGTTGGTAAGACGTCATCTAGAAAATTTCGGTACTTCTACCCATTCAGCATACCATCAATAAAGTATGGACCGATCAATTTTTCATCAATTATGCCACACCAAACATTAACCGACCAAGGTCGTTGATGTTCTACTTCACGCAACCATCTCGGATTTTCAACGCTCCAATGGTGCATGTTATGTCTATTGGCTTGTCCTTTGTTTGTAAAAGTAGACTCATCAGAGAATAGCACGTTACCAAAGAAATTGACGTCTAACCGCATTCGTTCTTGTGCCCATTGACAAAATATTTATCGATTGTCAAAATCACCTCCATAAAGCTGTTGGTGCAATGAAATGTGGTATGGGTGATACTTGTTGCGCTTTAATATTCTTAAAATGCTGGTCTTCGATATTCCGGCGTCAATTGCAAGTTGTCGAGTGCTAACTTGAGGATTTACCTCAACGCTAGCTAATACCGCAATTTCCTGTTCTTGCGTAGTTACAGTTGCTCGCCGAGGTCTTTCTCTTGATTCCACATTTCCAGTGTTAGTGAAATCATTCACAACTCTGTAAAAGGTAATTATGGAAGGCGTATTTCGATCAGGAAAACGTTCTCGATACAAAGCTATACATCAGCAACTTTTCTGCCACTTTCTCCATAAATAAAAATCATTTCGACTTTTGCTGCCACAATTAGAGTATCCATGATTTAATGACTTAGTTTAAACACTTTGCCTTAATGTAAAACGATGAAATGAATTCAGAATTTGTTGCCAAGCAGTTTTTATGCCAATTTAGTTTAACCTGTTACATTTTAAAACAATTCAACCAATTAAGTCTCTGAAAGCGATATTCTGAACATGCCAACATAAGCAGTTCTACGAACTCTTGTTTTTTATGCGTTATTGTATTATCAAATTGACAAAGGCGGAGAAATGTCGGAACCTTTTAGACCACCCTGTATATATTGAATTTATAACGGGTGTGACATTTGTGACATTTTTAACTAAATATTAATTGCAAACGAAAATGTTATCGTTTTCCTTTTCTTAGAAATATTGGGTTATGATAACGTTGCAACTAATCTCTAACTTAATTGTTAATATTTATGTACAGGTGGGGGAAATTTGGGTGTTATTATATTCTCAGTAACTATAAGAGATACGAAAGAAAAAAATAGGCGCCATGTCCCGGTTTCTTTTTTCGAGACTAATAGATTCCCTCAAAGACCAAACCTCTATCTTCTTTTGGTTTTTAGTTATAGGCAAAAAGTCAAATTTTCGTAATTTCAAAAAACGCTCATAATTCGTTTATTTTTGAAATTAGAGAAATGGGGTTGATACGTTCTTAACACTTTTTTACCGTAGAAAAATTTTAAACATACTTAATGATTTTTGAGATAACACAGATTTTTTTGTATATCTATAAACAAGGATAACACCAGTNCTTATAATTCGTTTATTTTTGAAATTAGCGAAATGGGGTTAACACTTTTTTACCGTTGAAAAATTTTAAACATACTTAATGATTTTTGAGATAACACAGATTTTTTTGTATATCTATAAACAAGGATAACACCAGTTAAAACGATTCAGAATAATTCGAGTCAATAAAGTCCGATATTATAAATACAGATTGTGCTAATTAATAATTTTTAAATTGGACTCTTTTATTTTTCGAATAACTAAGGTAATATTATGTAGTAATAATAATATTATAACAGTTCGATTTAATAATAATTTTAACCTAATTTGAAATATCACCTTTGCCTATCAAAAAATTAATTTTTATAAACATAGATGGCACCATTTATTAATGTCTTTTCATTTTATTAAAAAAAATATAAAACTTTAAATAAATATTAAAGTTTATTAGCAAAATAGGTTTAACTTCAATTCATTTTAAAAGAATTTTCATGAAAATTAACATTACTATATATTATGCTTTAATTCAAATTGAAATTTCAGATACATTTACAAGTTTTTTTGTGTGTTAAAACTCGTCCAGAACTACAAAATACTCAACCCACGTTTTCCACATCCTTTCCAGTTACTTCCTTCCACCAGTACGTTTCGAGAAATAATTTTATCCCTTGTGTCGTACTGTCCCTTTAAATTTTAATGTAAGGTAAGCGAAAATCTAACAATAAACAACAATTTTAATAACTATAATATATAATATAGTGATAACATAATGGTATGATTAATTTAACTTTTTTTCATTAAGATTTTTTTAAATCTTTATTATATTCTTTGTTACAACATTAATTTATAATTTTTCGGAGACAAATTTATTTATTACATAAATATAAACATTAAATTTTAAAATATGATAATTACTTTAATCTATAAATATAAAATCGAATTGAACCACGCTGTATTTTAAAAACTAGTTTTTTTTTGGTTTCAAAATGTCGGATCATTTTTAATGGAAATTTTTAATCGTTCCAAGTAAACCTTTTTGCAATTTCTATTTACGTTCGCTTTAAACAAAATATTTTTGTTTTTAATTAATTAATCTAAAATAGAAATTAACTATGTCAGCAAAATTTTAATCATAAAAATTCTGCGTAAACAGATCTCAAAGGAAATCGTTACGTGTGTTAACGAAATAAATGTTTGCATAAACCATCATTTACAAATATCAAATGACCCGTATCTCGTAAATACACGCTTAAGAAAACAATAATGCATGAGTAATAATAATCTTTTAACTTTGATTTTGATTACGTTTATTGTTACTGTTAATATAAATAGAGCTCGATATGTTTTGGCCGTTTTCATTCGTCATTATCAACTCGATTATCCTTATAATTATGATATCGAATTTTTTTTTTTAAGTTTTAGAATGTACCTAAACTATTTTATATTCGCCTACGGCATCACTACTTCCTACGCCTTTTTGGACTCCCTGTATATGCAATTGGAGTACAACTGCACCGGAACTGATAATTTCGTTTGCCAAAACAGCCGATGTGTTCCTATCAACAAGAGATGCGATGGAGTAAATGATTGTTTCGATAATTCAGATGAAAGAGATTGCGGTAAGAATTAAAAATTGATATTAATTTCTTTGATTCATTTCAAAATTCATTTAAAATAAGTTAATAAATCTTTATTTCTCAATAAAAATTGTCGCACAACGTCGATAAATAAAATATAATTTTAAGGCCCACTTTTACCACCTCTTGATAGATTTATCTGATAGATAATTACCATAGTTACAGCTGTTTTAAGCACTCTCATTGGCTAAGAGCGCCAATTTATCTATCGGTTAAATTTATCAAGAGGTGGTAAAAGTGGGCCTTAGCCAATGAGAGCGCTTAAAACCGCTGTAACTATGGTAATTATCTATCGGATAAATTTATCAAGAAATGGTAAAAGTGGGTCTAAGATCCATTACTACCATCTTTTAGTTAAATTTATCTTATAGATAAACCCATCTACTAGCCTATCAGAGCGCGTAAAATAGCCATAACCATGGTAATAATCCCTCAGATAGCTTAACCAGAAGATGGTAGTAACGATCCTAAGTAAGTTATCTACTATACAACAGTCAGTTAACTTTAAACAGCCGTTACTATTAACAATTCAACATTCAGAGATATTACTTCCGGTGTGACTCAGGCCAGCCATCTAGGACCGTTCTTATTTCTGCTCTACATCAATGATATCCACTTTCATCACTCAAAATTTCTTTTATATACTGATGAAAGCAAAATATTTGCCCCGATTTGTTCACTTGATCACCGTGTGAAGTTGCAGGTTGACTTAGACTGTTTACAGGCATATTGTATAAATAATAGTCTTTATATTAACCATGACAAGTGCAGGAAAATCACATTTACATTTTCTATTCATATTGATTATATCCTTTCACTAATCTATCCTGTGTCCGTTCATCCTATTTTGCCTATGTATCATCTGTTCTTAACTATGCATATGTCGCAGGCAAATGGTTATTTCAAGTAGATAGCTTTTTTCTAGTCAGATACTGTCTGCCTAGACGAATTATTAATTATTTATTGACAATTGTTGCTGGAATAGCATTTACTATTGCACATCATCTTATTTTTGAAACAAGTACTGCCCTGAAATTTCGAAAGCTGGCACTGGCATTTTGACATCCCTTACCCAGAAACAAGTGCAGGCCTCTCTTAAAGAAATAAAGCATTCCTGGGGAACATCCTTATATTCAAATGATATTGAAGACACCAGTGTCAGGTCGCTTCGACTTAACCAATTTTTTAAAATTCCTGCTTTAGTAGCAATTTTATAGACGTTATTCGCTGATTCTGTTATAATACCTACAAAAAAATGAAACATTAAAAAATTTTCTCTCCGAAAAGAAACTACTATTACCTTCTACATTCTTTTTTGTCCAATGACCCTCTATCAAAATTTGGAACTGCAACAATTTCCTATTTCCAAACCATCAAAAAGAATTTTATTCTTCTTCATTAACTCCGCGGCTTTCACTTGGTCTTCGTAAAACTTCTTTGTATTAGATTTAATACTTTCCTCACTCGCGCAAAGACTGCAAATAACTTTACTGCAGGAACTACCTCGTCGTTTACATAACCACAAGTAAGATGTACTTTTTTACTACATTTTTTACACATGGCATTCGTTTCTTAGAAAATTTTCCTTTTCCGTTTCCATAACATTAGCATCAAGTTGGCAACACACAAATTCATTCAAAGTTTCCTTATTTGCAACTACTCCTTGAAAGTAATTTTCTGTTCCATCATCGACATTTACTCTTGGTAAAGAATTTTCATCGCTGATGGGTGCATCCGTTGTTTCACTTATTGCACAGTAAATCCTCCTCAGTTGATATATTATTAATGATGTCGATGGGGAGGTTAGTGATCTTAAACCAACTTTTGGATCTGAACCGTACAAGCTTTTGTAAGGTGACCTTCCTATGATGCGGTGATATGATATATTTTTTTGCCATCCTACAGACCAACGCGAAGTATACTTTTCTTCCATCCACATCCTCAGCATTTGTTCAACACCTTGGTTTGATCTCTCCACGGAACCTTGACTTTGGGGGTGCCTTGGGCACCGTGTATGATTTTACAGTCTGGCCACAATAAAATCAATTCTTTAATTATTTCAGCGGTAAAATCACGACCATTATCGCTCTGCAAGATAACTGGAGCACCTTGTTCAAGGAAAATGTTTAGCAATTCAATAACCACTTTTGCGGTCCTTTTCGTTTGTAATGGCCGTAAGTACAGAAACTTGATAGAGTGGTCCTGATAATTTAATAAGCACTTGTACTTGTATGTATGTAGTTTCACGTGGGGGTGAGTTACTCACAGCACTTAGGCCCCAGCGGACCCTTTGTACGTCCCCACGATTTACTATTCATTCAAGGGTCAGAAAACCAGCCCAATCTTTTCATGAACGTTAATATAGAACAGAAAGGTATGTTCCTTATATCCGAAATTTTGAGCCATGGTACTCCGAAAATAGATTCCCTTAAGTACACGAGGTACACGAGGACTTTTTTGGAGTCGATAATCGCATCGGCTGCTATGTTTATAGCAATTAATTGAACTTAATTGTTAATTAATTGTACCTTATTAATTGTACCACTTGTACTTACCATCAGCACATAATTGTAAGCCTATTAAATCGACTTGCCTTCTCACGTTAAAGTTCAAAAACCCCAAATCCTCATGAATTGGGGGACTTGAGGCCAATTAGTATATTGCCTATATTATCCAAGGTTTGTAAGAAGGTCATGGCGGTCAGACTTCGCTGTCATCTTGATGATTATAATGTGTTGCCCAGTTGTCAGTCTGGCTTTCGTCCGGGATTTAGTAGTTTAGTAGCTACTGCGCTTCTGGGTGTGACAGATGAAAACTTCAAAGCAATTGACGACAAACGGGTTACTATCTTAACACTTTTGGATTTTTCTAAGGCTTTTGATAGAATACATCATGATACTCTAGTGGCTGCGCTCCATTATATAGGTTTATCTTTAGGTTCGATTCATTTAGTACAAAGTTATTTGTCTGGACGAAAGCAGTTGGTTAAACTTAATGGTGGTATATCCAATACCGCAGATGTACGCTATTTTAGGTCCTCTATTATATCTGATATACCTATACAATTGGGTTCGCTAATGTTTTGAATCACTGTATGCCACACTTTTATGCTGATGATACTCAACTGCTCTACTCTTTTAAACTGTGTGATATGGAAGACGCTGAAATCAAAATTAATCATGACTTAGTTAAGGTCGAAGAACTTGCTGGCAAGCTTTGTCTACAGATTAATTCTAGTAAGTCATCGGTTATGGTTTTTGGGGATAGAGGTTCTTCTGAGATTGTAAAAACTAACTTGCAATTGGTGATGTGTGGAAGTCGTCTTAACTTTGGGGAAAATGTAAAAAATTTGGGTATCTGCTTCGATGAGCGCCTTCGCTTTGATGAACATGTTCGGTCCCTTCTACGGAGAGCTTACTCTACATTAAGGTTGCTTTACAACAACAGATACATTTTGAATCAGAACCTTAGAACGCACCTGTGTGATGCCTTGGTGTTGTCCATCTTCAATTACGGTGAGGTAATATATCACTCCTGCCTTGACAGCGTTCACACTGCTAAAATTCAAAAGTTACAAAACTCTTGTCTGCGATTTATATATGGTATGCTTAGAAGGGAGCGTATATCACATACGCTGGCATGGGCTGGTTGGCTGAGCATGACACGGCGTAGGACTCTTCACTGCTTGTGTCTCTACCACAAAATTATCTTACACAAAAATCCGCCATACCTTTATGATAAAATTAGAGTTCGCGCAGATATCCATAATATTAATATTAGGCATAAACATACGCTAACGATACCTCACCACCGCTTAGAAAATTTCAAACGCAGCTTTACGTATTGTATGCCTAATTTATACAGTTGGCTACCTGATTCCTTCAAGAGTTTTTCTCTGATTTCCTTTAAAGCAAGGGTTAGGGCTTATTTAAGTGAGCGGCAAGTTGACTGGGCACTCTTCTTCTTTGTTTATTTTGAAGTGGTTTCATAGCCAGGGGGAGGATTGGGGGCTGGCAGAGATTGAGATATATATATATGTATGCTTGTTATATCTAAGTATGCTTCTTATTGTGTATTTTAAGTTTGTTAATTTTTTTTGCGCTTATAATCGGCCTGATTTCATTTCAATTATTTTATTTTTCAATTTTTGTCTTATTATTTTGCTGAGGGTGATTGAAAAACATTGTGACAAAGGGGCCTTGGTCACTTGGTCAACCTGACATGACCCTCTTTAATCGGAACTGCCTTTTTATAATTTTATTGTTATTTTTTCTATTTGTACATATATTTTATCCGATTAATAAACATTATTATTATTATTATAAAGTCTTTGGATGTTATAGGCCTTACTACCAAGCCGGCATGTTTTTGTGTTTTTTTCGAATTGCAAATTTTACATAACTCGGCATACAATTCAACTGCCAGTCTTAAAATCTCATCTTTTTTTTCAAATTATGCAACATTTTATCCCTTCCACCATGACCGGTCCCTTTACGCTGCTCATCTATTATGTCAAAGAACTCTTCAATTTGTACAAAATACATGATATGTGTATCATCCGTAAATTTCGGTTTTAGTGTAGCAGATATTTCTAGTAAATCATACTTTACACCGTAGTATTTTTCTTTTGCTGTTAACGCTTGAACATTTCCACTCTGTTTAGTTCTATACAGTTTTAGAATATCAATCACTTCATTACATCGCTCTATATTCCACGGTTTCTTAACTTTTCTATTTTCATACTTCGCGTTTAGTTGCATATAGTATTCATCCTTGTCTACCATTTTATTTCTAAATAAAAGAAACTATATTTAACTTAAGAATTGAAAATAACAATTTAAATGAGAGAGATGTAAATAAGTACTGAATTAAGAGATAACAATTTTTAAGAGCTATATACGAGTACTTACTGTGATAACTGATAACATAACAACTTACTAAATAAATTACTTACATTAAAATAATAATCACTTTCACAGTATCACAAGCAACCGCATATACATATATGATGACAGTAATAAAACCTCAAACAGCAAACAACGAAGTAATGCTTAAAGTGCTATTTGCTTGAAAATATTTTAGCCATATGCTATTTGCCTAGGCAAGTAGAATTTAGACTGAAATAAATGGAATAAAACTATTTGCCTAGGGAGATAGTATCTGACTAAGAAAAAGCTATTTACCTGAAACAACCATTTGCCTACGACACATATACCGTTTGGAATCCCCAGTATTACATTTACATTGATCGCCTAGAGTGCCTTAGAGCAAGTTTAAAAGCATTGTTTTTGGCACCTATCACACAAATTTTCCTTACTATATTGCCACTATGCTCAGCGACGCACAGTTTTCAGCATCCCGCAGCTCGTCTTCAGGCGCAATATAAATGATTTAACTTTTCTCCATAAAATGAGTAATGGCGTTGTTGACAATGTTGACTACTCCTCGATACTATCTGAGTTACGAATGCATTTTCAAACTCTGCGATTCCTCGTCTTATGTTCACTTTTAACCGTTATTGCTCTGGTTTGGACATGTTCACTGCCTTCTTGGTTTCCTTTAGAAAAATAGTGCATAAGCTACCTTGGCAGTGAGTATTGGGTCTGCCGTCCAGTTAGTTCCTTATTGGTGTTTATTTTACTTTTTTTTTAATTAAGTTTCTCTTTTTTGTTAATTATTATCATATTCATATATCATTTCATATTCATATTTGTTATTGTTTGATGATTTTTTTTTAGTTAATTTTCATTATTATTATTATTTTTTTGTTTTAGCAATTACTTATTTTTGTTAAGATTTTCTTGTTTATGTTCTTTATTGTGTTCATTAGTGGATGCTTCGCTGTTCTTGTCCCGTTTGCATCCTAAATATAATAAATAAATAAACACATTTCAAAACACAAAGAGTGAAGTTATGGAACAGACAGCTTAGCAGTTTCGTACTACATAACGATTAAACTTCTTTATATTTAATTCGGTTACAGATGCAATTTATTATAAAACTTAGGGCCGTAATAGTTTATATTCTGTTGGGTAAAGCTTAAACGATGTAAAGGTATTTCCAGAGTTTCCCTGTTTTATGATTTCTTCCAAGTTCATTCAACTCACTTCGGTTTTTATGGACATATTTTACACAAGTGTACACATAAAGACTGGGTAACGTCAAAATTTCAATTTTTTAAACACTGGTTAGCAACTGGGTTTTAGATCCTCTAAAGCACGAACACAACGCCTCTGCAGTATAAACACTCGGGCTGCTGCAGCTACTGATCCCAACACAACGAGTCCATATGTCGCAGCAGCCTGGAAACAGGCAAAATAGGTATTCCTTGCCGCTTCCTGGCCGGTACTTAACATCATCTTCGCATCAAATATACGGCACCAGAAAGACGATTACCCAAGTTTTGAATATGAGTACGCTATTTCAATGTTGAATCCAGAGTTATTCAAAGGAACTTAATAGTTTCTACTTCACTATTCTTCTTGAAGAGACTCAACATCTGCGTCCTGTTCTTGTTTATCTTTAATCTATTTGATAACACTGTCGAGCCTGGCACTGACTCGATCGTGGGAACTTCCCCTTGCAACAAACGTATGATATAACGTTTGTAGCGTAGAGAAACGTTTTGACATTGCCAACACAAAAAGATAAATCATTTATGTATACAGCAAATAGTATAGATCCCAAAACGTCCATATTTGCAAACTTCATATCGGATTTAGTTTCAGGCCAGCTAACAAATCTATTTTCGGTTTGAAAGGTGTGAAGCCAATAGAACATGTGGCAAACCTTTTACGCCACAAAAATGTAGTTTGCGCATTAGTATACAGTATACAGTTTCAACAGTATCAACATCACTACTTAAGTCGCAGAAAGCTATTTTAACCTTTTCATTGTTGTCATGTTTCTCAATTATTTCTTGTACCAGGTTAATAATTGCGTTAGTTGTTAATCTACCACTTCTATAACTATGCTGGCTGTTATGCAAAATCAGTTTGTTTTCAAGAAAGTTTGCCAAACACTTATTAATTAATTCTTCTAGTATTTTGGAAAAACAGGTAACACCAATAAAGACCTAAAGTTTTCATGTGCACAATCCGATCGTTTTCCCGAGTGAGATAACTCCAAATACAACGACTGAACTTGTCGATTAAAAAGAGCATTATAATTAAAGCTAATCCCAGACAATGTTTGTCTTAGTTTAGCGCACAATAAATCAGGTCTCACTTTAGGGGCATGAACGTACACATCAAAATTTCGAGAAGTTGACTCAAACTCTCCATTAATCTTCCAACCCAACTAGTTCTACACATGTGATTTTTCACAACAAATTTATTCATTAACAGATGCAACCTTAAATCCAAAGGCATAATATCTGCTTCAATCAATAACGCATTAGTTGGTGTAGATCTAATTCCACCAGTAATAATAGCCCTGGCTGCCTGAATGTTGGTTAACTTTTTGAACACCAGAGCGAGGACAGGCAACATCAACCATGCAACAAATTCCAATCTAGACCGAATAAGCGCTTTATAAAATAACGTAGAAATCATCGGACCACATGCCCATCTATACAAATGTTTGTTATTTTTTGCATTTATTTTCAAATAATTTTTTAAACAAGTCACTATTTTTTACTGGTAACCACAACAATTTATTGTCTGCTAGATTACCGGTATCACTGTTATTATTCGTGGGTTTATGTACGATTTTACCGAAATAAAAACAACAAATTTTTAAACAATATTTTTGTCAAGGTCTCGTTGTGTGGCTTTATTGTTGATTATAATTACGATTATTCTGGAAATTATATATTATTGATAAGACAGTGGATATACAGGATGATTAAAAAAACCGCTGACAGACTTGTAGAGTAGATAATACATGAAAAATTAAGATGAATAGTCTTAATATAAATCGGGTCACAAATGCCTCCTTAATGAGATATAGCGGGTCAAAGTTTCTTTAAAATTAAACATTATCTGCAATAGAAAGCCCTTTTTTAAAAATATTGTCTACGCCATTGCTAATTTTGTCGAACAAGCAGTATTTTCGTGTAAAGTGATCAATTATCTATCAATTGGTCTGTTACAAAACTTTGTTCAAAGCAATAGTTTTTAAGAAAAACACGTTTGTAGAAAATTTGTTAATCCAATCAAAAACTGTGGGGCAACCGTCTTGCTGAAAGAACATTGCCTGTATAAAATTTAACACCTGAATTCAGGTGGAAAATTATTGTTATGTGCGATGTTCTTAATTATTTGTATTTCGTGGTTTTTGTAGTTGTCTGTCAATGGTGTTTCTTGTATACGATGTATGTATGAGTTGAAAGCAGCATGTTTGTGTATATGGTGGTGAAAGGAGTCTGCAGGTATTACTGTATCTGATTGAGTAAGTTTTCATCTAAGAGATTGATGGATTCATTCTTTTCAATTTCCATAGTGAAGTTGATTTTGTTGTGGAAAGTATTGATGTGTTGTAGAAGTTCACTGATGTTGTTGGGCGAAGAGTTATCCCAGAGAATCAAGATGTCATCAACATATCTTTTCCATAGTAAAATATATTTATTGAATGGATCAGTAGGTTCAAGTAGTGACGTTTCTAGTTGGTCTATGAAGAAATCTGCCAGTAGCCCGCTAAGTGGTGAACCCATTGGGAGTCCGTCATTGTATTTAAACATTTCTCCATTGAATTGGCAAAAATTAAGTTCGGTGCAGTGTTTTATTAATTTAAATAATTGTTCGGTATTGGTTGTATTTAGACGGGTTTACAGGTAATTGTGAACTATGGTTAAGGTTTCGTGGATAGGTATGTTGGTATAGAGGTTAGTGATATCAAATGAGATCATTTGAAAGTTATGAGGGAGGTTGATATTAGATATTGTATCTACTAGCTCCTTTCTATTTTTGATTGTGTTAGCAGGTTTATATTGTAACTGTCTGGCAATAAAGAGTTTGCTGAATCTGGCGATTTTCTGAGTACTTGAGTTGACAGATGTGATTATGGGGCGAATAGGATGGTTTTGTTTATGTAATTTTATGATTGAATATAGCATAGGAATTCTGGGGTTCAAAGGTTAAATTCTTTAAGGTCTTGTTCTTTTATAAAAGAGCTACATTCTTTATATATGTATTATATGTGTTTTTTAAAAAAACACATAATATAATATACCAATATGGATGAAAACCCATTTACCTAAATTTAAAATTATCAAAAATAGTGCACTCTAGACATATGATGACATATATCAAATTATATTAAAATTTAGCAGGGATCCCGAAAATTTAATAATAATTAGTACATTCCATTTAAAATAACAAAGTTGGGGTCCACTTCCGGTATAACTAGAAGTTGGAGAAAACTGAAAATATTTTAGCTGAAATGAGCACCTTGGATAAATCCTGTATGCAAATTTTCACAAAAATAGTGCCAGTAGTTTACCATATACTTATAGACTCAGTTCGTCATGACATACCCTGTACAGGGCGCTCTTGTAATCGCCTTCTTGTAATTCAACTTATGTTTTCTGGACATAAAATTTCCTCATGACTGATGGAATACTGCTAATTACGTTCGCAGAAACTAGAAAATTATTACTCCCCAAAGTGTTGGCAGTTAACAGTTAACAACTCTCCTTTGTTGTTTATGAAAACACAAATAAAATTAAAACATAACCTAAAATTTATGTTTTTTAATTAACAAGATGTGGTGTAAATGATTGTCTCAATACTTCGGGTGAAGGAGATTGCGGTAAGAATTAAAAATCGAAATTAATTTCTTTGATTTACCTTAAAATTAATTTAAAATTCGATAAAACATTTAATTTATCAATCAAGTCAAGATTCATAACCTCAAATTCGTTGACATTTGTCAAAATGGTCAAAATACAAACAAAATTAAAACCTAACCTAAAAATATTTTTTTAAATTTATTTTTTAGATCAATACCAATGCAAACCACCACTTTACTTCAAATGCAAAAACAACAAATGCATTCCAGCTTCGTTTCATTGCGACAAAGAAAACGATTGCGGCGATTACTCAGATGAAATCGGTTGTGCCGATTTCCAAGCATTAATGGCACATCCAACAAACTGTACCGATGAAGAATGGACCTGCCACGATAAACTATGCATTCCAAAAGATTGGGTATGTAACGGAGAACCTGATTGTCTGGATGAATCCGATGAAACTTTCGGTTGTACTGATCACCACAAATGCACCGACTTTCAATGTAAAGATGGTCATTGTATACCTCACGCTTGGGTTTGCGATGGAAGTTTCGATTGTAGCGATCATGAAGACGAACAAAATTGTGAAAAACAAATCGATCCGAATGAATGTACTTTGGATGAGCGAAGATATCTATGCCCGGATAATAAGACTTGCATTCGATTGAATCAATTATGCGATACCAAGAAAGATTGTCCGGATGGAATTGATGAGTCACCCAGCTGCCTTTTACGACCGTGCACAAACACAACTTGTTCCCACGAATGCGCTAATTTACCCGAGGGACCAAAATGTTTGTGTCCAAAAGGATATCATCGAGTCACTGATAGGCAATGTGAAGATATTGATGAATGTGAAACATTCGGTGAGATTATAACATTTTAATTTTATTCATATACAGGGTGTACAAAAAGTATGGAATTATGGTTCTACAGCCTAAACTTCAACTAATATTAAAAAAAGTTAGTTTTAAATGGAACAGTCTGTATATTTTAAGGTTTTTGGATTCCTTTTGGCAAGGTGTTACAAAATGCCATAAAGTTTTAATGTTTTAAACTGCATAGTTTTTGAGATATTGAAACTTTTATTTAAAAAGATTTGACGTAGCCTAAGCCTTGACGTCACAGAGGTGGGCGGAGCTTATATCACAGTTGCTAAGATAAAACGTCATAAAAATGTCATCTAAAATGTCACTTAGTTTATTTTATTTTAACACTAATAGACAACCTAAGCCTTGACATATGCAATTTTCAATTAGTGTTAAAATAAAATAAAGTAAGTGATGACATTTTTTGGCGACGAAATTATTTGAAGGCAGTATAGGATCCGCCCATCTCTGTGACGTCAAGGCTTAGGTTGTCTATTCCATAATGACGCCATAACATCAAATCTTTTTAAATAAAAGTTACAATATCTCGAAAACTATGCAGTTTAAAGCATTAAAACCTTATGGCATTTTGCAACACCTTGTCAAAAGGAATCCAAAAACCTTAAAATATACAGGGTGTTCTATTTAAAAAACACACTCACCATGTCGTAACTCAGCCTGCCGTCATTATTTTTATTTTATTTCTACGTCAAGATATGCGGAAAATAGTTTCAAGTAACTTTTATTTAAAACTTTTTTAATATAAGTTGAAGTTTGTTGAACCATTATTTCATACTTTTTGTACAGCCTGTATAAAAAACACTTCTTCTCAGTATCAAAATGTTTTATTATTTATACAGTATGTCCCCGGATCGACATACAAAGAGGAAAAAAACTTTTGTTAAAGTTTTTTCAAACATATCTCAGCATAAATAATGCGTCGGATATGTTCAAACCACTAAATCGCACGAACTTTATATTCTAACTATAGAAGTTAACTAATTATTGCCATTTTTATGTAAAAATTATACTTTTCCCTTGTACTTTTCCTAAATTAAAAAATTTTTCAAGTTCAATTTACGATATGTAGCCATAGACACTATGTAAGTAATAAATATTATTTATTTGTAAGTGAACAAATCCTCATTCAAACAAATGCCCTCCTAATTCGGCACACATTTGAAGACGAGTTCTAAATTCTTTATAATAATTACGAATTTCCGCCAGTGGTAGAGATTCTATCGTATTTATTATTCTTAGTTTTAATAGTTCTGCATCATCTTGTAATGGTTCACTGTAAACAATTTGTTTCAATCGTCGCCAGATAAAACTCTTAATCTCACCAACATAAGTTGTAAGTTTTATGGTTACATATCATAAATTGAACTTCAATTTCAATTTTCAATTTAGAAAAAAGTCCAATTTTTAAATAAAAATTGGAATAATCAGTTAGACACTTTTATAGTTAGAGTATAAAATTCATGCGATTTAGTAGTTTGAACATATCCGACGCATTATTTATGCTGAGATAAGTTTGAAAAATCAGTAACAAACATTTTTTTCCTCTTTGTAACTCGATCCGTGGACATAAATAATAAAACATTTTGATACTGAGAAGAAGTGCTTTTTATATATGAAAGAATAAGTCAAACCTCAGTAAAACAAGAATTTCTGTATTAATTTTAATTTTATTTAAACTAATTTTTTTTTTTGGTTAATAGGAATTTGTGATCAAAAATGTCGGAATTTACCGGGATCTTATCGATGTTATTGCGACTCAAAATACAAGTTACAAGATGATAAGAAGACTTGTAGGATAAGCGGAGGTGAAGCTGTCCTTGTTTATAGTTCAAAAAGGGAAGTACGCGGTTATTTTTTGGAGTCACAACATTTATTTGAGGTGGCGAGAAATTTGAAACAAGCTCTTGGTGTTGCATTTGATGGCCGTCATGTTTATTGGACTGAGATTGCTTCATCGCATGAGAGTATTGTTAGGTCTTTAGAGGATGGCGAACATCGAGAGGTAATTTAAATGTCTTGTTCTTCTTCACCTGATCCTTATGCTTGATGGCGTAGGATAAACCTTTTTCCTATTCCTCCATTTATTTCTTCCACTCCCTCTGGTTGCTGGCTAATTCCTTTATATGTGCTAGAGTCTTCTCTCAACTTCTGCTATTCTTTCTTCCCACTTCTTTCTAGGTCTTCCCATCTTTTTCTTATCATTATTCTTTACTTCAAATACCTTTTTTACTATTGTGTTATGTTCCATTCTAACATAACCTTTAGTTGCTTTCTCTCTATTTTGCTGATTATCTCCTCTTGATCTTGTTTCCTCAGTCCTTATCCTATTCCACTTTTTCCATAAAAATTTCGTTTCCATTGCTGCGATCTTTCCTTCTTGTTTATCTTGGAGTGTCCATGATTCATTGGCATATGTTAATATTGTGACTGCCACCCAATTTTATCTTCTTACCTATCTCCTTCTTCCCAAAAATTGTTGTATTTTGAGTATGATATACAGGCCGTTTCATAAAGAATGGTATAGGTATGTTAATATTGAAACTGCCACCGAGTTGTATATTTTCAATTTTATCTTTTTATCTATCTCCTTCTCCCAAAAATTGTTTTGTTTAGAGTATGATATACGTTGCTTGTTTTTCTTATTCTTGCATTTATGTCTAACTCTATCCTTCCGTCTTGTGATATTATGCTGCCCAAGTACTCATATGATGATACTTCTTCTATCTTTTGTTCCTTAAGTAATATTTCTTTCGGGTTATTTCTTATTTCCTTTTTATTTATTGTCACGACTTTACATTTATTTACGTTCAATTCTAGGCCCAACTTTTCAATGTTCTCTGTCCATATTTCAACCAACTTCCCTGCCTTTTTATGGTTCTCTGCTATCAGCATTATGTCGTCAGCATGTAGTAAATTATCTATTTTTACTGGTTCCAAACTTTTATAACCTATTACTGTTTGATATTTATTTGTTCTTGTATTTTTTATCACTCTGTCCATTAATATTATAAATAACAAGGGGTTAGGCTATCGCCTTGATTTAATCCCTCGCTCATTTCAAATATTTTTGATTATTGTACAGATTTTCAATTATTTTTGTTAGTTTTTGTGGCACCATTAGTTGTTATAGACTCTTACATACAGGGAGTCTCAACGAGACCGGTCATTAGACGTTTCTGGGGTTCTGGCCAAAATAAAATGATATATTTAAGTATTATCAATTGCGTTCTCTCAGACTAAAATATTTTCAGATTTCTAACACTTACGGTTATACCGGAAGTCGCCACCTATATTATTTTTTTAAATAGAACATGCTGTATATTTTTACAAGTTTGGATTTATCTGTTTTCAAGGCTTATGAATACCTTTACTTTTTGCAATTTGATTCAGCCGTTCTCGAGTTATTCGAATTTTTCTAGACAATTGGGATATCAATTTAGGATTGAGAACATGCTTAAGCAACATGATGGAATATGTTTTGGTGCCGAGAACGGCAGTCTAGAAGATTTGGTCACTTTACTATGACACGTTAACTGTTCGAAATTTGAAAGTAGCATAATTTAATTTTTTTAAATCGCACACCCCATATAGGTATAGTTCATTGCCCGTCTCTATTTTCCTTTCGATTATATTTCAGATAACATGTATGTTATTGTTCATTTGTTTGCTTGCTCTGTATGCTGCTTGTTCATCTTCTAGTTTATTTTCCACTACTCTTTTTAACCTTTTTTTGTATTATCTTTGTGTATAATTTGTAACTTGTAGATGATAGGCACAGGCTCTGTAATTTTCACAATTCGAGTTCTAATATTTCGAGATTGTTTCCTCTTAGAAATTTTTGTTTAGACGCATCGTTTTCGAGTTATTCGCAAAAATATACAACCTCGATTATGAAATGTTTTCTGGATTCTTTGTAACTGGAGCAGTAAAGCAACTGGCAAATCATTACCCAACATTCGTCAGTCGGTAATAATTGTTTAAAATGACAAATAATTACAGTTTTAGTAAAATAGTTTTAGTGACATGCTTTTAACGTTGGAAGAGTGTTCAGGCAATGCTAACGCAGTGGTGAGATGATTATTGCAAATAACTGATGATACTGTTGATATCAACAGTTGTGACATTTCGGAATATCCAAAACTACGGTTTGGCGTGTGCCCCACAAACACCAATTTTATCCATAACACTTGTCGACAGTACAAGAATTAAAAATTGCTGATCATCCGTTGCGAAAACAGTTATGCCATGCTATGATGGAACAATGTACTATTGATGCTGCGTGTTTAGAAAAAATACTTTATTGATGACCATTAATTTGAGATATTGCTTTACTTACGATTTATTTTTATGGACACCTACAATTAATGACAGTATTTCATGGATGAGGTTGTATCTTTTGGTGAATAACTTTAAAACGATGCGTCTAATCAAAAATTTCTAAGAGTGAAAGTAATTTTAGAATGAAATAGGCTTTTAGAATCAGTTGAAAATTTAGATCGATATAATAAAAAAGTTTTAAGGAAATAACCTTTGTGGACACCTGTATAGCATTGATCCTGTGGTTGCGTACTTTCAAAAGTGATCTTAAACGATTTGTCATAATAACATTGCATTGTTTGCTAAATGTTATCTTTCTAAGACAAACCATATTGAAAATATTTAAGAAACTGTTGTCCATATCTTAAGCATTTATGAGATTATACCAAAAATGTTTACACGAATCATTATCATTTTAACTCTAGTATTTGTGATTAAAATTATGCCACGACTTATAGAAATATCCTGTACATTTAAATTGAAGCAAATACGTAGTATGTAGTATTTTTGAAAATACACAATAAGATTTAGTACTTTGTAATAAGACTTATTGCAAAATCCTCAATTAAAAACATACAACAATACAAAAACATACAAACAACAAAAGTCTTTAGTTTTGCAAAAAAGTCATTAGTTTGATTGAGTTAAGGTTGAAACAATTTATGTCTATTAAATTTGACACACTATTTCTAAAAAAAGGAGTAGTAAATCACCCTTGGGAAGTTATATTAAAAGATGGCCTGTTTACTCAAGTATCTTGTGTCAAGTGTTGTATCTTTTTGGAATAAAAACAACGCTTGCCATTTTTCTGTTCATAAAAAATATTATTGCCTGTTTTTCTACAAAAAAACACCGTTATTTAAAAAATTCATACTTTCGTATGCTATTTGTATTTACTCTTTATTTCCTCTTAACTTTATTAGAACTACAAAATTTATCTACGAACTACAAAATGTGGTTTCAACAAGATGATTGGCCCTATGTCTTGCAAAAGGACTATTTCGAATAAGGTTAACCTAAAGACAAAATTAAACAAAAAGAATTATTAATTTATTTATTATTAATTTTATTGCATAAAATTAAAGCAAATGCTTAAATTGTTTGCCGTCGGCACTAATACAAGCTCTGCATTGTCGCTGAAAACATCTTTTTCCTAATTCTACAAATCTTTTTGCTTGCATTTAATTCTTCTGCTGCTGTATAAATATTGTGGCACAGTTCGGCCAGATTTTTAATCGATTTTTAATACACTATTTCTTTTATGCAATCCTTATAAATAAATCAAGGATATTCTGTATTCAATCTCGTACAGGACAAGCATAATGAGCTGGGCAACTATCTTGTTGAAACCGCATTTCTCTCTCCGCATTCATCTTTCCCGCAAGCCTTGTCTGTTTTCATCTTCATCATTGCCTCTCCTAATTCTTCCATTGTTATCTCTTCAGTTGCTATGTCTATAGTGTCTTCCCTTATCTCATGTTGTCTTCCCTCCTCCATTATTTGTGTCCGTTTTTTATCCTTGAACGTTTCTGCATAAAAATCCGCAAATATGTCCAGAATTTCCCTTGTAGTTGTCTTTATTTCGTTGTTTTTATCTTTGACGGCTTTTATTTGTTTCATTTGATCTCTCTTCAGTTTTATTATTTGATATTCTTACCTACATCTCTGTTCGTTCTATAGTTTGCTCTACTCTCTTCGCTCGAATTCGTTCTTATGTATTTCTTCCATGACTCTTTCTTCTTCTTGATTGCCTGTTAGACCTCTTCATTCCACCAGTGTGTTCTCTTTGTCTGGTTATATTTTCTCATTCCACACACCTCCATAACTTTATTTCGCATTATCTCTTTAAAAGATCTCCTCCTTTCTTCCAGTGTTAAATTATCAGTTTGTTCTAGTTCTTGAAATTCGCTGTTTGTTTATTCTTGGTATTTTAATCTTTCTTCCTCCTGCCTTAGTTTATGGATGTTTTTTTTCGTGTAGGTTCTCATCTCTTCTCTTTCGATTTCTATATTATTAATAGTTGACATGACTACTCTGTGGTTGGTACCCATTTCTGCTTCTGCTTCAGTCTTTACCTCCTCAACTCTGCTTTGGCGATTCCGGGTGTATGTGATGTAATCAATAATACTCTTAGCATTCCTTTCTTCCGCCACAAACGTATGTTTATCTTGCTTCATCTGGCTCCACATAGTGTTTCCAATCAATAAGTTGTTTATTTGACAAAATTCCAGCATTTTTTGCCCATTTCTATTCATCACTGTCTCTCCCTGATCTCCATATTCTCCTATACTACCTCCTCCCCCCCGTTACCTATTCTCACATTCCAGTCTCCCATTATAATTAGTTCCTCTCCTTGTTTTTTGGATTTATCGAAGGTTTTCTGCAGATTTGACTAAAAATCTCGTGAAATTCTTCTGTTCCTTCCGTTGGTCAATTCCCAATTCTAGAATTTACTCGTGCATACTTATTTGCTCATTTATTTAGTTACTCTGTTATAATTACTCCTACTCCCTCCTTGTTCCACGTATTCTCTTGGACTCCTGAAAAGTATAGACTATAATTCTTTGATAATTTCCCTTCCCTTCCTTTTCGCTTCTCCAATTCCCATTATTTCTATCCCACACCCCTCCATCTCCACCATTATTTCCCTTTCCTTTCCCGGTAAAGTTGTAATATTCCACGTCGTATTTTCTCCTTGTGCTTTTCCTTGCGTTTATTCATATTCCTGCCATTTTCATCCTTAGTAAAGTTTCCTCTTCTTTCTACACTTAGTTTTTTGAATTATTCCATATTGTCCAGTGATCTTTCCAAAACTGTACGTTTATTATTCTTGTCAGCTTCTTCATCCACTATCTTCTCTTCGTCGTTTGCTTTCATCCTTTATAATTATTTTGTTGTATTGTAAATGAGCTTTAACTCCTTTTCCCCCGAGTTCAGTCGTCAAATCATGTCTCTCTCTTTCTGAATTTTCTTCGAGTAGTCCTCATCTATCCATATGTTCGTTCCTTTCAACTCTTTAGGTTTTTTTTAGGATATCCCTCCTTCTGCCTTGCTTTGTTTTACTACTTATCGGCCTATTATTGTTCTTTTATATGCTCCTATTCTACTTGTGATCTCAAAATCATTCTCTCTTTTCGAAACTTTCAAATCTCTCTTCTTTTATTCCCTTTATTACCACATTTTTACGTCTTACCTCTGTCTCCAGCATATCTATACGTTTCTCCTGTTCCACAATCTTCCCCTTTTAACTTAGAAGTAAATTATAATTGTAATTGTAATAATAGAACGATTTAATTTGTTTTAGACTTTAGTAACTTCTGGATTAGGAGCAGCGGAGGATTTAGCTTTAGATTGGGTAACAGGGAACATTTATTTTACCGATTCGGAAATGCAACACATTGGAGTTTGCACAAAAAATGGTCATCATTGCACTGTAATTGTTAATAAAGATATTCATAAACCACGAGGAATTGCTTTAAATCCCACAGATGGGTAATTTTTTTTAATTAACAAGATCTTATTGATATTAATCATTTTTAATTTTAGTGAAATGTATTGGTCCGATTGGGGCGATAAACCGGAAATAGCGAAATCGTTAATGGATGGAACCAACGATAACACATTCATATCGACGGATATCTCTTGGCCAAATGGGTTAAGTCTCGACCAGCCGAATGGAAGATTGTATTGGACAGATGCTAAGAAAATGACGTTGGAAAGTATACGATTAGATGGAACTGATCGTCAAGTTATTTTAGAGGGAATTGTTAAACATCCTTACTCAATTGCGATTTTTGAAGATAAACTTTTTTGGTCGGATTGGACGACGAAGTCAATTCATCATTGCAATAAATTCACGGGAAAAAATTTCCACACGATCATTAAAGAGAATAAAAATGAAATTTATGGCATCAATATTTATCATGCTGCGATGAAAACAAATAAAACAAATCCGTGTTTAAGCGCAATCTGCAGCGATATGTGTTTATTAAGCGGAAACGGATATTCTTGTGCTTGCCCTCAAGATAAAATCTTAGGAAACGATAAACATATTTGTGCACGTAATTAATTTCATTATATTAAATTATAACTCTTTATATTATATATATATTTTTTTAGCTGTTGAAAAACAACAAATTTTAATAGCTGCAACAAAAAAACAATTGGTTCAAATTGAACATAGGATTTTGGGGCGACACAACACCATGCCAATACCAATTATGGCAATGGATATTACAAGTTTTACTTACGCCTCATTTTTCCACACCTTATATATTAGTGATAATTCAACAAATTCGATTATTTCATTAAATCTCAACACAAAGGAAACGAAAACTTTCTATAAATTTGAGACTCCAACGTTCATCAATTCGATGGTTTACGATTATTTAGGTCAAAACTTGTTCTTTTGCGATTCCACACATAAAACGTTGAACGTTTTGAATTTAAACACGAAAGTAATGAAACCGTTGGTGCATGATTTTGGTGGTGATGTTCCGCAGAGTGTTGCTGTAGTTCCTGATGATGGGTTAATATTTGTCGCATTTAAAAAAGATTGGAATAAATACCATATTGATCGTTTCCGCGTAGATGGAACAAGTCGTATTCACATTGCTGAAGAGAACATAAAAGGTACAATATCTCTTTATTATGATCAAGATTTCCACCGAATCTTATGGACGGATTTTACTCGTGGTACTATTGATAGTATTGGAGTCGATGGTGAAAATCGCCACACCTTACTTTTCTTAACAACATATCCTGTTGGAATTACGTCTCTTGCGCGAGATCTTTTCTGGACGAACGATGGAAGTTCCGATTTGATGTGGGTCGACAAATTAAAATTGGATTTTCCGAAAAAGATTCATTTAGATATCGATTCATCATCACCTATTTCATTAATCTCAGCGACACCAAGAGCAATGCAACCCCATGCCTGTCAATATAAGAACGGAAATTGTAGCCATATTTGTTTAGCTTCTCATCGAGATAGTTTCCAATGCGTTTGTCCAATCGGAATGAATCTCCATACAGATAATAAAACCTGCGTGCAACCACTACAATGTTCAAGTCAACAATTTCATTGTAGAAAAGATGATAGATGTATTCCTTTATCGATGTATTGTAATGGAAGGAAAGATTGTGTTTCTGGGGAGGATGAAAGCGAAGATTGCAACAAACGACATGATTGTCCAATTAATTATTTTCAATGTGGTGATGGAGCTTGTATAAAACCTAAACAAGTTTGTGATAAACATTACGATTGTCAAGATCGATCTGATGAAAGATCCGACGTTTGCCAGAAATGGATGGCGAAGAAAGGCCGATTTTGTAATACACACGAATTCATGTGCAAGAATGAGATTTGCTTGGACAATGTATTCGTTTGTGATGGAGTGAAACATTGCGAAGGTGGCGAAGATGAAGAAAATTGTTTGAAATCAACGTGCGCGCCAGATGAGTTCAAGTAAATAATGATTTTTCTCAAAATAATTATAATTGTAATTAATTATTATTTTTAGATGCAATTCGGGAAGTTGTATCCCGAAAAGGTGGGAATGCGATCGAGATTATGATTGTCCTGATATGTCTGATGAACACTCTAAATGCGGTAAGTTATTGGAAAATAATAACCTCTTAGATCCTTTCATATTTCTGTGTTTGACGCCATTTATATCCAATTTCTTTTTTAATTTCTTGATGTCTGTGGTATTGTGGGTTAATTAAACGCTGTTATCTTTTGATTTAATCACTCTATTAGCAATTATAGTTTAAAAGAAAATAACAATCTGTTTGGTACATTACTTTAGTATGCATCCGTTCTCTGTAATGGTTGTAAAACAACTCCTTTCTAACATGTTTCAACCTGGAATGCGGGAAGTTAGCCATTTTTAGATTTTTAAATTTTTCATTGTTGTTCTAAGTAGAGTCAGCAAATAGAAAAAATAAAAACTCGGCGAGAAAAACTAAAAAAAAAACGGTTTTTACTAGCCCCCATTTTTTGAAAAATCAGATTTTAGAGAAGTATTCCATTCTTAAGTACGCCATTACTCTCTACACTTTACACGCGTAGAGAGTAATGGCGTAGACAATATTTTTTAAAAAGTACTTTTTATTGCAGATAATGTTTAATTTTAAAGAAACTTTGACCCGCTATATCTCGTTAAGGAGGCATTTGCGATCCCATGTATATTAAGACTTTTCATCTTAATTTTTGATGTATTACCTGCCCTAGAAGTCTGTCAGCGGTTTTTTGAATCATCCTGTATACTATATGTTTATACAGAGTGAGTTTTTTTCCATGTTTAGTATGGAGATCTCGAAAACTAGCGGAGATAGATAGACGATTAAATAGGGAAAGAATTGCAGTTTCATGAACTCAATTTAATGAGCTATTTGTTTTTTTGTATAAAATGCATGGCTAATTAGACATCTCGAAAAAACCGTTTTTTTTTTGTTATATCGTTCGATACCTATGGCTCCGTTATTATTGATTTTAGGAAAAATGTGTAAAGGAAAATTTTGTAGGGTATTACATGTTTAATAAAACAGTCGAACGGATTTTTTTATTTAAGCAATAATTTTTGAGTTATGACACAAACTCATTTATTCTTTTAATTTGCAAACTGTTCAGGTAGCACGCTATGGAAACAATTGATAGATACGTTTGGTTATGACAGCTTAAGGCAAACGTGAGTTTCCATGATTTCGTACCGTTAGCTTATTATGTGGTGGTGTCCCATCGTGTTTAAGCCAATGACGTGTCTGCAGGAGCAATTCATCCAACATATTATCGAACTCGTTCTGTAGAAAGTGAAGATAACGATCTCCCTTTAACGTATCATAAAAAATGTACGGACCAAGAATTCTTGGACAAATGACACCGCACCAAATATTAAATCCATGCTTAACTTGAGGTCTCCTCTCTTGAACATGATGCGGATTTTCCTGCATCCATTTCATCTGTCTACAAAAGTTTAATCTAAACTATGAATCACGTACAATATTCTACACGCTTATTGTAGTCATATGGGTGTAGCGTTTGTGAAGCTGCCATTTTATATGAATGAAATCTACGGATTTTTAGTTCTTTTACGACTGTACGTTGTGAAGTGCCTGCTTCAGACTTGTGTTGAAACCGATGCATCCTGATGGATTCGTGCTAATACATTTACTTCTGTCTTGCATCCTTAGTTGGTTTACAGAAAGAAACATACTCTCCCGAAATATCATAGAGCCTCTTAAAAGTAGGTAGAGAAGGCTGGCGACGATCAAAATATTGTTCAAAATACTGTTCTGCAGCTTGTATTGCATTTTTATAGCATAAAATGTAACACTCAATGATATTACGCATTTCTTGATAAGAAAAATTCATATTGATAATAATTTACAAAATCTCAATCAACGTTAACTAGAAACTAAACGAAACATACATTTGCCTTAAGCTGTCATAACCAAACGTAACGATCAATTGTTTTCATAGCGTACCAACTGAACAGTTTACCAATTAAAACAATAAATTAAATATAAGTACGAAGGCTTTCACGGCCGGTGTAGAAGTCGAACTGGTTGAGCACCAATAATCTGAGATTGATCCCCAGCATTGCCCCCTCCAATGCTCTTTGGTTTGTCCTTTTTTTTCGGCACTTTTTGTCATAGTTTCCACGCTATATGTTGTTACCGGTAGTACATGGGATAAGAGAGGATGGGTTTTTGAGGATGAAGCCGAGTTTCCCAAACGCTGCCCATGTCAATCCTATCCTTCTTGCTATTTCGATAGTCTAGTTTTCTTCGCCCAGCTTGATATCGTGACCAAGATTGACGTGGTGTTTTACAATTTTTATCATATGATTTTCGAACGAAAACTGGAGAGCGTCCGAAGTCTTTTGAAGGTCCAACCTTAAAGCCATTTTTGCTGATACTTTATGGAGCTGCTGCAACATATCCTCCAACTCCTCTGGGTTGCTGCTTAGCAGTACGATGCCGTCCGCAAATCTCAGATGATTTGACAGATATGGAAGGAGTCGTCGATATTGATGCCCTTCTTCCCCTAGGACACCTTCTTGAAGATGTCCTCTAGTGCCAAGGTCAGCGGTTCCCAAACTTTTATTTATCCGTTGCCGTAATTTTGTAATAAGTATAATACTATAACTGCAAAAAACATACATATTTCGTAAAAGTTTTATTACAAAAAAATTATGTTTTCACACACATGCGTTAAGAAAGAACAAATCAATCAATGAGATGGATGAGCTTACTTTTGACAAGATTTCAAATTCTAGGTTGAATTTATTTCTGTATTTCAGTTTTGTTGCTACAACTGTAGAAAACGCACAAATAGCTGCTGTAATAAGGTAAATACAGTTGCAGTACTTGTTCTGCTATGCTGGGATAAACTTTGAAATATTTTACCCAAAATAGTGACTTGTCCATCCTCTCAAAATCATATTTGGCCGCAGAATCATTTTTAATTTCCAAAACTTGCTCTTGTAGTGTTTCTGATAAACTGATAACTCATCTTTTTTTAACATAAAAAGGATCCGTCTTGTTATTATTGCATAACTTAGGTAACTAACGCTTGATTTAATCGGTTAGGTGCTGCAAATGGTTTGATATTTTATTCTTCATATTATCAATGTCCTCAAAAACCTCCTTAAAACGCGCTTGTTTTGAGATTGAAAACAATTTAAGAAAGCAGGATTAATTGCATGCTAAAATTTTTCGATTCCAGAGTTGCAATTCTTCAATATACATCGTGATGGCATCTCGATGATAAATTATGTTCGAGTCTCCACCTTGTTATTTCAAGTTTAGAGAATTCAAGGAATCGAAAATAGCCGATAGATAAGCCAATACTGCTAAAACAGTTGGTTTTCTGGATTCAACATATAGTTCAGTTTGTTTTTGGGTTTAAATACAAAATTTACATATTTAATATTTTTTTTGAGAGCCAGCGCACTTCCGAATGGAATAATAATGTTTTATGTTCTGTGCCCAAATTTTTGCAAAAGAGCAATGCATAATTTTAAAGCATCATTGACATAAAATTATTACAATGTTCACATTTTCAATCATTTTTTGTCGTTTCCTGCACAAATATAACAACGTGATCGTTTTGAAGATGTTTGTGGAGTCTTCTTATTTGTCTATCGTACGCTTCAAATGCTTGTGCTATGTGTTTATGTAACCCTGTTGCGTCGTTTTCGAATCATTGTGTCCGCTGCTCAATATATTCTGCAACTAACTCTTTTGTCATAATCTCAAGAAATATTTTTTGACTCCCAATGCATTATAAGCTGCAATATCTATAAAATTTTGAAGGAGAATCATGGCCAGCGTCTTGTAGATCGACGACATGTAGTAATTTATCTAGTGTATCTACACCACTTTTTGTCAAAGTGTAATACTTTATAATTTCAGGTTTGAAACTATTTTCGGAATTAGATATACTGAAATCACGATGTAGGTATACTTGAATGTAAAACAACACATTTTCTTCGCTACATATGAGACTAAATGTATTTGTGAACAGAAATTGTGATGAATATTGTTCTCTATTGTAAGTGCCAATAATAGATTTAGGAAGATATTTTTACGAATTGTTCCAACAAGAAAGCTATAAAAATTGCGCTGGTAAAAAAAATATATCTGTTGTTATAACACGATTAGAATTCTTCTAAAATTCAGTTAGTTGTTTTACAACACAAATTTTTATACCATGTATGTATTTGATACAGTACCAGTATTTGATACTTCGCAAGATTCCCCACAATTTGCTGCAAACATATCCGATACTTTGCATATAGGTGCTAATTTATCCACTTTTTTTTTCTATCTTCCCGAGTTTCCGTATTGTCAAATCTTATGAACCTCAGAATATCTTTGAATCTGTCACGTGCCATAACCACGGTATACATCTGCCTTGATAATAGATTATTTTTTCGCCATAAGTGGTTTTTACTTTCACGTGATTCTCTAAATCTTTCGATGAGCAGAAGTAGACTTAAAACTGCATATATTTCTGTGGAATCTACTTCTTTCCACGAGTGAGGGTCAGTAGCGTAATATGCATTGGCTCTTTGATTGATGTGTGTAATAATGCTTCTATACATTTTATATTTCTACTTTTATTTGTCAAAGAGCCACCTCGATATATTAAACAAAGCCATAGGGCGACCAGAATATGCAAGAACATACAAAACAATACCTCTTAAAATTGATGGAGTGTCCACTTTATTGTTTAGTGTCTTATACAGATAACCAAGACTTATCACACCCCGTCTGACCGACAATTTTGTCATATCAAAATATCTCCGAGCGAATTCATAATACTAAAAACCAATAAATCTTTTGTATTGTTTGTAGAAAACATATTTAATAAATTTGTTTTGTACTGTCTCAATGATATTCGAATGATAGGCTGTTCCAGGGTCCCATACCACAATAGCATATTCCAGTTTTGATCTAATTTATGAATTATATAGGTGCTTTATGGTGTCAATATTGAAAAAGGAGTGACAATTTCTTATAATAAATCCTGACAACCTTAGAGCTGATGCAGTTGTAGCTTTTACGTTCTCGTCAAAATTAAAGCTTTGTGTATATATTATTCCTAAATCTTTTTTCCATACAATGTTTTTCAGTTCAGGTGCTTTCTTTAAAGTGAAAGTAATTTTTTCACATTTTTCTGCATTAAGGTGGAGCCTATTCTTGTTCCACCAAATCATTAATCTTCTAAGATCAGATTGTAGGCACACACAATTATTGTGTCCATTACACAACCAGACTTGTGTATAGGTACAACCTTTGCCCACTTCCAATGTAAAGGAAACGTACAGGTGGAAATTGCTAGGTTAAAGATAATAGAGAGAGGCAACACAAAAAACTCTTTGCCACCTTTCACGATGTATTATTATCTGACCCTTGTGCCTTTTTTGGCTTTAACTTTCTTATTGCTTCCACTATTTCATTATTCGAAATAGGATTAAATATAAATATGTTCAACGAGCTTCTTTGAAGGGATTCATCATATTTATTAAGCATACAAGTAGAAACATTATCAAAAACAGAACTGGAATATTCACCAAATGATGCCATACTTATATTTTCTACAGAAGAAAGTGTTGAAGAATTAGTTAGAAATGAAATTCCAAAAAGAATTTGGCTCGTTCTAAATATTTTGTTCCATCTTAGCCGTGTAGCTTTTGTATGCTATGCCAATGTCATGCCAATATTCTAGCTCTTAACTCCTTAAATTTATCCATATGGTATGCAGAAACTTTTTAAATTTGTAATGAAAGTTTTTAAGTTTAATATTTTTTATTATATCATAGTTAAAACCAAAAGGATACATCATTATCTTCTTCATCTCATTCCGACGCAGTAAATAGGTATATCCGCTTCACTCTTATGCATTTCCGGTTCCACATCGCTCATTGTGCTACATGATTCTTCCTCTGAAAACTCATCGTCTTCTTCATCTCTGGCAAAATCACTAAAATTCGTAGTGTTTTCCATGTTTTTACGTTACTATTCACTCACTTTCTGACTCAGACGTATAAATACAACTCGAATTAGTTAATGAGTAGCGGAATCGATTCTCGCCATGTCCATTGCTTCTGCCCATATCTCGTCGGAGTGGAACACTTTTTGATAATATTTGAAGGCCAGGTGAAGGGAGATGTTGTACTCTGTCTTCTCGATTTGCATTACTTGGAGATGGTCATGGTAGAAGTAGAATTTGTTGGTCAAGCGGTCTGTGACTATCCTTGTTAAAAAATTATAGAATGTGGATAATAAGTTGATCCTCGGTATTTTAGCAGACTCGCGCAGTGGCCTTTTTTGAACAGCAGCATAACCTCCGTATTGTATTTCCTCCATGCTTTTGGAATCCTCTGTTCCTGCAGGCATCTGTGCAACAAAATGAGTAATGCCTCCTCCATTGGTTTGTCTCCCACCTTGAGCATTTAGCCCGACACTCTGTTTTTTATCTCCATTGAACAACTTTTCGGGAAGATATAACGTTATATAGAGCGACCTTGATTATCCTTTGGTTTGGTACTTTATGTCGCCTTTTGAACGCTCTTGATGATCTTCGCAGATAGTTTATCGAGGTCCGTGCGGGCTTCTCTAACTCTAAGCTGATTAACAAGCTTAGAGTCGATATTGATTTCTGCACTTACCAGCCTGTGGTCGCTGTCAGTATTAAATCAGTTGAGGGCATTAACATTCCTGCAAATTTCTTTGCTCTTGACATGGATGTAATCGATCTCATTTTTCACCCTGTTGTTTGGGCTTTTCCACATCCCCTTCCTTTGGGGGTGTTTAAATAAACCTAGTCTATTAACATTTGACCCCGTTCTTTCCGACTCCCTTGGCTAAATAACAAACCCACTTTTAAACCGAATTTAAAACAAAATAAAATAATAAATCCTTCTTTATTCAGATTACAAAATGGAGTGTACCAAAAACGATTACAAATGTAGAAACGGAAAGTGTATCCCAAAATCACTTCGTTGCGATAAAACCGACGATTGCGGCGATTATTCGGACGAAATCGACTGTCACCACCAAAAACAAAACGAATGTGAAACGGGGAGTTATTCCTGCATCACTAACACCTCAATTTGCATCCCGTTAACGTCCGTTTGCGATGGAAAACCCGATTGTCCCCACAAAGAAGACGAAGTCCAATGTGGAAATTGTCATCTCGACCAGTACGAGTGTAAAAACAAAAAGTGTATTAACCGTATGTGGATATGCGATGGTCACGATGATTGCGGTGATGCCTCCGATGAAAACAACGATTTATGTACGCAAAATGGAACTGGTCCAACGGGAAGAATTTGGGCTGAGTGTGATGGGTACAGGTGTAAAAATGGTAATTGTATTCCAATGGAACAAGTTTGTGATAAAAAGAACGATTGTTTCGATGGATCCGATGAGAATGGGATGTGCGAAAAGAGTTGTCAGAGCGATTCAAATCCGTGCTCGATGAAATGTATTAAGACTCCAGCTGGGGCGACTTGTGCTTGCGAAGATGGGTTTAAATTGGAAGCAGATGGGCAAAGTTGTAGTGATATTCAAGAATGTCGATTGGATCCACCCGTTTGTAGTCAATTGTGTACTGAATTGATGGGATCGCATACTTGTGGGTGTTATGAAGGATTTGCATTGAGGTTTGTAATCAAATTTTTATTATAATTAACCCTTTGGGTACATTTATCTCGTCATCGATATGAATAACGTTATAAATAGTGGTGGAACGGATATCCGGCAACTATCCGGCCATTTTTTAAAATCCGGCCGGATATTAAAAATCTATTACTTAGTACTCTACCATTCACAGGAATTAGTATCTTTTTTATGGAATTAGTATCTTGGAATATGAGTATGAAAATTTCTCAAAGTGTTAATAAGAGTGTCCTCTTTCCTATTAACCAACCCGTTTTAAAAAATAACTTTCAGTTTTTGAGAAAACAATATTTGAAGTTTTGATAAAATTTTCGATGGTGCAATTTTCATCGATAACTTTCAAAATTCGCAATAAAATTCATTTCTTGAAGGAACCTTGGAGAAATATCACCAATTATTAATTAAAGTATTTTCTTTTTAATGCAACAAGCCGTTTTGAAAAATCTCTTTTAGTTTTTGAGAAATAAATTTTTGAAATGATCGACAATTTTTTCGAATTTTGCAATTTTCGCCGATTAAGTTTTAAAAATTCGTATAAAATCGTTTTCTTGGAATATGAGTTTGAAAATTTCTCAAAGTGTTAATAAAAGTGTCCTCTTTCCAATGAACCAACCCGTTTTGAAAAATAACTTTTAATTTTTGAGTAACAATATTTGAAGTTTTGATAAAATTTTCGATGTTGCAATTTTCATCGATAACATTCAAAATTCGCTATAAAATTAATTTCTAGAAGGATCCTTGTGGAAATATCACCAATTATTAATGAAAGTATCCTCTTTTTAATGCAAAAAGTCGGTTTGAAAATAAATAAAAGAAATTAATCGATCGTAATTGATAATAATATTAAATAATTATTCGTGAGACGATCTTTTTTATAAAAAGAAACTATCGTTTATTTCGATCTTCATCAGAGTATAACTAAAATACAAAAACAACTAAAAATAACAATCTTACAATAAAAGTTAATTACTTACAAATTATGCTCATTAAGGAAATAACATAAATGAAACCATAAAACGTTTATAACAATAATTGGAGATGTAAAAAGTTTATGAAAATTAAAACGTGAAAAGTGACAACTATATTGAAATAAACAAATCAGTACTCGTCAATCATATTACGTCACAAATAAAATTCATTTATTTTTATTATTTGTATTTTTATCTATTTGAAAAAGATATGAATAAATGTTACTCAAATTTTCTGTATCTAACTTGAAATTTACAATATTATTTTCAGCGTTAATATGAAACATTTCAAGGAATAATCTATTATGATAATTTGATTCCTTATCCAAAGTTATTGTGTTTTCGAAATCAAAAGTATGGTTATAGTCAACAGCGTGTTTTGAGAGAGCACATGATGTTTTTTTCAATTTAGTGTCACTTTTGTGTTTATTAACTCTACTTTTTAACCATTGTTTAGTTTGTCCAATGTATTTACCATTACAATCTTTACAAGTAATGCAATATATAAGTTCCGATTCTAAGAATTTTTCTGTTTTATCTTTTAAAGTTGAGAAATATTTATTTAATTTTTTGGGTATATATTAATGAATGTTAAGTTATCTCGTTTTAAATGTATTCGAAGTAATTCTGTCAATCCAGGAATATATGGAATTTTTTTATATTGTTTTAATTGTGCCGATGTATTAAAATTTTTACTAATGTTATGTTGTAAATTAGTTGAAAATAGTAATTTATTAAGGAGTTTTCTTGGATAACCATTATTTTCAAACATTTTACGTAAAATTTTCAGATTCTTATCTTTAAACTGTGGTTCGACTATACTACATATTCTATGTTTTAAAGTAAGCACCGTAACAATGTTATGTTTGAATGTGTGGTTCGAATGAAAATTTACATATCTACCAGAATATGTTGGTTTTCTATACCAATCAAAAATAATTTGGTTTTTTTCAAGATCGTGTCACGAATAATTATTTAATATTGTTTTGAAAAAATCACTTTTAGTTCTTGAGAAATAAATTTCACCGATTAAGTTTTAAAAATTCGTATAAAATCCATTTCTTGGAATATGAGTATGAAAATTTCTCAAAGTGTTAATAAGAGTGTGCTCTTTCCAATGAACCAACCCGTTTTGAAAAATAACTTTTAGTTTTTGAGAAAACAATATTTGAAGTTTTGATAAAATTTTCGATGTTGCAATTTTCATCGATAATTTTCAAAATTCGCTATAAAATTAATTTCTAGAAGGATCCTTGTGGAAATATCACCAATTATTAATTAAAGTATCCTCTTTTTAATGTAAAAAGCCGTTTTGAAAAATCACTTTCAGTTCTTGAGAAATAAATTTTTGAAATGATCGACAATTTTTGGAATTTTGCAATTTTCGCCGATTAAGTTTTAAAAATTCGTATAAAATCGAGTTCTTGGAATATGAGTACGAAAATTTCCCAAAATGTTAATAAGAGTGTTCTCTTTCCAATGAATCAACCCGTTTTAAAAAATAACTTTTAGTTTTTGAGAAAACAATATTTGAAGTTTTGATAAAATTTGCGATGTTGCAATTTTTATCGATAACTTTCAAAATTCGCTATAAAATTAATTTCTAGAAGGATCGCAAAATCACTAATGCAAACGATACATCGATTTTTCGAAAACAACGATGTATCCTCCATAAACATCGATGTTGAAGTCCATAAAACATCGATACATCGTTCATAGAATCGCTTATTGGACACAAGGCTGTCCAAGTTAATGTTTTTGAATTGAAGGGCTTATTGCTACAACGTGATAAGCCACCAATAAAATAAAATTTTAAGAAAATCAACTTCAAAAGATTACAAAAATATTGTCTACTGGATTGTTACTGGCCTCCGTCTCTTTTTAATGGTAACTTCATCATAAGTTCCATTAACTGAGTGCTTTATAAAGAATAATTTTGGAGCATCTACTTTAAAATGAAAAAAAATAGACTCCAGAAAAGTCTAATTTTTCACCTTTGTCAGAGCGTGCATTTTTTGATATGTTAGATAGCAAAGGTTCTTGATTTATGAAATCGTTTTGTTGCATAATCGTTACCACTCATGGATATTTTTCACTACTTTCTTCTATGACTTAGTGGTGTGTATTTTCTATACCTTTTCTCTATTAAGGCAAAATCACGATCGGATGGCATGTGAGTATGCTCACTCACTAAAACGTGTAGTACTCATCACGTTATTATTACATCTTAAATCGCCTCTCTCTAATTAACTGTAGCCAGAGAGACATAATGACCTAATTTTTGTTTTGGCCTGGGCAGTTTTCCGTAAATGTTACCAGATCATCAAAATGATCATCCATAGAAGTGTAACGTAATTATTTTATTTTTTATCCACACTGATGAACCGTATAAAGTACGTACCACTTTATACACTAGTGGAATAATGAAAAATACAATCTTAAATCAATCACATCCTATTTATTATTTATACTAACATTAAAATCAAAATCAGCATCAAAAAAGGACGTTGTGTATCTTGGATCTAAATAAGTTGACATATCTTCTCAGCTTTCTTATTAATTTCATTTTTATTTAAATATCGCAATAATGTGGCACTATAGGTTATTACTTCAGAAATGCACCAGAAATTATAACCATAATGGCCGGATAGTGATTTGCAAAATCACTATCCATTCCATCACTAGTTATAAATAAATCAGAACTCAAGGAATTAATAAATTAATTTAATTTTATTTTTTTAGAGGAGATAAAAAATCTTGTAAAAGCGATGGTGAACCTCCACAAATTTTCTTCTCCGTAGAAAATCAAATTCGTCGTCTCTCCGTTGGTCAAAATCGTTTAGACATTCCCTTTGATGAACGCAACCTTGGAATTTCCGGTCTCGATGTTGCCGTTAACAAAAATTTCTTATACTTTTCCCTTAAATATAGCCCATATATACATCGTATGGACGTAAAAACCGGCGATTACAACTCCGGAACGATGCAATTACCTGGAAATACACGCAATTTAGCCGTCGATTGGGTTTCAGATAACATATATTTCGTTCACGGTTACAAGTATGATAAAAAGATCACCGTTTGTTCTTTTACTATGAGATCATGCGTCGATATTATTAATATAGATGGTGGGGACAACGTTCAAATCGAATCTTTGGTAATCGATCCGATAAATCACGTGCTTTTTTATACGATCACTAAATGGTCGATGATGGATCACGTACAAAGTGTTATTTATAAGAGTACTTTGGATGGGTCAAAAGTATTTCCGATTATTACAGCCGAAAACAAACAAATTTCCGGTTTAACGTTGAACGTTTATTCAAAAACTTTGTATTATTCCGATCGATTTATCGGTGATATAATTAAAAGTGATTACAATGGATTGAATTCGTTCACTGTATTTCGAAATAGATCGCATCCTTATAAGATGGAATTATTTGAAGATTCTTTATACTTCATTGAGAGTCAAGGTCATATGGTTAGTTGCAAGTTATATCACGATCGAAGTTGTAAAACGGTGAAGATGATCTCTTTTACGAGCGCTCATTTTGTTATTTTCCAAGAATCTCGACAACCTAAAGGTATTAATTGGTGTGAAAATCATAATTGTTCTTATTTGTGTGTTCCTGCCGATGCTGGACCGATTTGTTTATGTCCAGATGGTTCTATTGAAAAGGAACGATGTGATATGGTGAGTGAAAACGAATTCATTAAATACTCTGTGTTAATTAATTATCATACCCGACGTCATCATTGGATGTATGCAACCAATATCGCAAATCGCATATTGCAATACCAATACTGTGATATTGGTTGCATACTTGCTTATAATGATGACTATATTAAAATATAATGATGTATTAAAAAAATAATAACTTAATAATTTTTAATTATAGAAAGGTGAATACATTGCAAGTCGTCAACAGATGATTTCCATGCAATTTGGATCTGAAAAATCTTTATCAAATGGTGTTGTAGCTTTAATTGTTATATTTACGATTATTGCTATTAGTGGGGTATTGTATGGAGGATATTATTGCCAACAAAAAAGAAAACATACCGGATCATTTCCAATTCCAAATTGGAGTTCAGTTGAATATACAAATCCAATTTATGGAAAACAACGTAACGATTTGTTACAATCAGAACGTGGTGAAAGTGGAAATCCAGTTGATTTTGGAAGTAAAGATATGGAAGCAGCCGCGAATGCGATTTTAGATAGAGTGAATCCTTTAGTAGATGTTAGTGATTAAAATAATTTAAAAAATTTTTGGTAGGCTAGGAAGTAACTGAAAAGATACTTTTTATTGTATTAGTTTTTGTTAATTGTGATATTAGTCTAATGTTGTTGTATAAGGTAGGAAAAAATTAATCAAAAAAAATATTTGCGAGAGATAGGAAAAATTATTTATTGTTACTTGTATTTTTTACAATAAATTTTGAGCGCTAATTTAATTTTTTGTTGTAATTATCAACTAAGTTTGTCAAGTCTCCTCTATTAATGTTATTCCTGAATCTCTATGGTCTTTCTTGTAATTCTTTGGTAGTAATTTCCAACTCTGCCTAGTACCTTGGTCCTATCAAAATCTGTCTTATTTAGTTGAATATCCCTTATGCTTCTTCATATAGCACTGAATGTTACGTCCAGGCTGGCCAACGTAATACTTCCTACAACTACATAATAATGAGATACATACTACATAATAGATAAACTCTCTCTCCCTTTAGTAGAGTTAGTTTGTATTTAATTATCGGAAAAGCCGAATTTTATAATTATCGTTCTTCTAAAGTTAAGGGAAAAAATCTGCAAGTCTCTTATCTCTTGACATTTTACATCTACCCAATTGTTAGTTTGATCACAAAAAATAAAATAATGCTGAAATCAATTTGATATAACTTCATTTCTTTGACTGATAATAACCAATTTTTTAAATTTTTTTGTGATCAAACTAACAATTTTAGGAGAAAATATCAAGAGACGAGAAAGTTGTGTATTAAATTCCTCTATTTAAATCAAGTTTTTAAATAGAAAAATGTAGACGCATTAAAAAGTTCTGATGCAAAGTATTATATTGATGTCAAAAAGTGTCATTTTATTAGCAACACTTATCTGCCAAATTTCGTTCTTCTAAATTCATCCATAGTGCATTTATTAAATAAAATCAATTATTATCCCCTAACTTTAGAGTGCTGTAAAACAAATTGCTAACAGTTAGTGGTTGCTTAATTAATTTTTTTCTGAGAAATTATTAAATTTTCGAAGAATATCAGAGGAGCAAAAAAGTTTTAGAATATTTTCATATATCTAAATAAAATTTTTCCAATGTATTTAGCACGTTCATAAAAAAAAATGTAGGCAAAAATTGAATGGGGGTAGAACAAATTTCATTTTTTTTATGTTTATAGTTCTCGCAAAAAAAATAACCGACATTTTAACATGCATGTTTTCATAAATTTACGAATATGAAGCAAACTACAATAAATAGGTATCGAAATGTTTATAGATAATTTGTAGAGAATTAAATTCTCTTTCTGATAGGCTAAAAAAATATGGGGCGTTCCATTTAAAATTTTCGACTTTCTCACCATTGAATATGGAGAAACAGTAATTCAATTTTTGACCATCCTGTATAAGATACTCCGATACAACAAATGACAATCTATTTGACAACATCTGAAGAGTAATCGTGCCAACGTAGATCTTTTTTGAATGAACGTTGGCTGAGATTTCCCAAAAAATTTCCCAAAAAAAACTTAAATCCAAAATAACCCGAAAACGAAAAACGCTAGGTACCAATAACTTTTATCAAAGTTAACCTATTTTTTTACATACAATTAAACGGTGTAATAAAAAGTATAGCATTCCATTTAAAATAGCGAAGTTATGGTCTACTTCCGATAGACCGGAAGTGGCAGCCATCTTGAAAATATTTTAGATCGAAAGTTCCGAATGAACAACCCATCCTACCAAAATTTCAAACCTCTACGAATAGTAGAACCTGAAAAAGTTCTAAAGAACCAGTTACGTGAGACCCTGTATATGTTCTTTTTGTGACGTCATTGGAAGAATTGACATTTCTATGCTTTTATTTATACAGCGTGTCCCGTATCTTCCGCATCAGAGCATTGTACGGTTGTAGGATACATTATTCTGAAGCGATCTTTCTAATAAAATTTTTTCGAAATGTTTATAATAACCGCACGGGAACTGTTTAAAGAAACTGTTTTTCGTCCAATCAGCAGATCGCAAATCAGACTCAGGTAATTGGTGCCACCCTCGGCCGGTTCGCTACGCCGATGATAACTCGTTTCCCACGTGTACTCACCAATAGATTCGTCATGGAAAGAGAAATAAACTTTTTCGATGAATCAAAGTCGTCCGTTATTGGTCGTCGTTAAACAGTTCCCGTGCGGTTATTATAAACATTTCGAAAAAATTTTATTAGAAAGATCGCTTCAGAATAATGTATTCTACAACCGTATAATGCTCTGATGCGGAAGATACGGGACACGCTGTATA